AAACTAATTAGTTTGGGGTAAAAATCTGTTCATATTAATTCCATAATAAGCATAATAATTCATAATTTTTTGGTTCTAATCACATTTCAATTAAACTTGGAAACATAGATTTTCTGTTACATTGCGCAGACCTCATTAGTTTTACACTCAAATCTGTTCATATTAATTTTCTGATTTGCATAATTAGTTTTCAGCTAAGTAATTTCGAATTATATTTAATGTGTCTCCAATACTCTCGGCACATGGGAGTTCTTTCTAAGCTTTCTTTGATTTTTTGTTTGTATTTAATTCATGTCGGGGTTTGGTTTACAACAAATTGTAGTTAAATAGGTTTTACTGTGTTTTGTTTGATAGGTAATGTCATAAGTGGTGATCTGGATATGAACTTCAGGAACTCTGATCGAGAGGATGAGTCTCGCGAACAACACAAGGATACGGAGGAGGAGGAGGAGGAGGAGGAGGATGTTGGTGGAGAGGATAATAATGATGTTGAGAATGGAGATACAGACTCGGGAGACAGCTCATTGAGTGAGTTTGAACTCAAAACACGAGAACAGGAAAAGAGGCGAAGGGAAGAGGAGCAGGTAAATGTGATTATGATTGTTCTCACTTAATTCTGTTTCTCTGACTTGCCTAGGCTGATTAAATTTAAACTTTATGCTAAAAAATCATCAAAATCAAGCATTTATGGATGTATTTTGTTTAAACTTAGTGCATACGTTGGATATTATGGGACCTTGATGCTCGTCATTTTATTTTTCAGATCCGATTTAAAATGACCGGCTGGCGGCTATTTTGTTTTAATGAATGCAGTTTTAGTGCCATATCTCTGACATGCTTTGACTGATTATGTTCAAAATTTATATATTCGTTTTACAATCATGTTATAGATATATAGATGTATTCAAAATGGCCGACTGGTGGGCATTTTGCTTTAATTAATGCCGTTTCCTCAATATGGACAAGTACTCGTTTGACGATCAGATACAAGATGTCAATCATTTTAATTTTAAAAAGTCATCATAATCAAGCATCATCTTCTGGATTCATACTTCTGACATGTTTATGCTCCAACTATATTACTATAAACAAAACTATATATTATAAATTTTGATAACTAACAGGGACTGTGCCATGCATGGCTTGTTTTGCTTATACTGCTCTATTTGGGAACTTTTATGCAATTCATGTTATATTATTCTATAAGAGAGATTAATACAGTATTGTAGTATTTATTGAGGAACACAGCTAATATTTTGCTTTTCAAATTTTGCTTAGATACTGTACATGTATGCTGCTGTATTATTATTTTTTAGAAACATTTATACACTTATACAATGCTATAAGACTTGACTAGAGATTAATAATATTAAACTCATTAAAAACCAGTGAAAATAAATCTCATACAAAAAACCTACTTTTTCAGTGAAAATTAATTACAGTATTTAAAGCGCGGAAGTCGTATGGATATATGGGTCTCATATAAACAAAGATGGTGACTTTGACTGTTGCGCAAATCAACGAGTACGAACTGAGACCTTTCCAAGCTTTAAATAAGTAATTTTCATGTTCAAGGTATCGAAGGAGTCACCGGCAGTAATCAGTGCAAATCGTGCCCAGATCAAACCTCATACTTGTGATTTCCATTTGAAGAGTGCATTGCATTATGGGAAAATGTTTATCAACACAAATGTGGCACATGCGCAGCGCGACGACGCGCTTTAAACAATCGTTAATCTATGTATACTCAATGCTAAGTAGTGTTACCTTTTACACTACACTTTTTTCCTGTTGTTAACTCCATGAAAGTGTCTAGTGTTTACTACATAGGGCTTAATTGTTAGCTATTTCATTACAGCTCATTTCAGTGATAGTATAGATGCTAATTTAAAACCCAGTGAAAACCTGGAATAAAAATTAAACCCAGTGATTAGTTTCTCTTTCTACAGTATTCAAATAATTAAGAACTGTTTTTTTTTTTTAAATAGGAATATCTTGGATTAGACCTGTATACCAGGGTAAAGAGACCCCGTCCACCTCCCAAAGAAAGAAACGAGTATGGTGTTCCAATTAAGACTAGAGATGATTCTGATTCTGATTCCGATTCGGAATCAGACTCTGAAGATGAAACGTCTTCATCTGACACTGATGGTACTGTATGGTTTTTGTATTTAGTATTTAATACGGTTTTAATAAACATTTATACATGTAGAAGGGCTAAAAATTAGCAGTAGCCCAAAGCATAGACACTACTAATTCCTTTGCCAGGGCTACTATTTTTGAAAATGGACTACTCACTGGACTACTTACAATTTTTCAAATAATTAAAAATGTCTATTCACTGTTATGTTAAATAACTAATCATGTCCAGCGTCCAGCTCCCATCTTTTGTAATTAGTAGCCCACTCAGCCTCCCACGAAAAAAATGTTTATTTTGAGACCTGTATAATAATAATTAAGTTGAAAAAATAATATCCTATGCTGCACCGCAGTCAGAATAATTTACAAAACACTCATACTGTCTCAGAATTTGGGAATTATTTGTGACTGCACAATTTCATTTCTATTTTGCATTTTTAGCTTTGCTGTTGACCTCGTCAAGCGAAATGTTTATTTTGAGACCTGTATATATTTCGACATCTGCTTGAAAAATGATTATTTTGATAATCTTTTAGATTTTATTTTGTGATGGTAACTTTAAATTCTCTAATTTTGTTGAATGTTTGTTCATGTTTGACTTCTTTTTAAACACCTAGTCAGATATTGATTTGATATTTCATATGCAAGTACCTTGGAATATCAAATTCATTTGATTCATTCTCATGACTAATAATTGCGATACAACTAGTAGTAAGATAACTTTAACCCTGGCAGTTTATCAGACATTGTCACAATTAAAATTTTTTTTTTTTTTTTTTTTTTTGTGGAAATAGGTTTAGGAAACCAGAGGAGACGAACATATTTTTTACGTGAGAAAAAGCGAGCTCCTCAGAGATTTGCTGTGGAGCATGAAGGTAATATTTAAACTATTATAAAATAGTCTTTCAAACAACAATGCATGATGCCGAGTGCCAAAACATGCGTGATAAAAGACAGACTACTTTAAATCATTTTGTGGATATTCTGTATGTTATTATAGTACCTTACTTCCAGGATCTTTTAGCAGATTTAGTCTTGCAATAGACAAGTGTATAATTTCCAGTCATCTGTGAACCAATTTTACCAATATTTTCGCAAATTGAATATACATCCTTGACTGTTGTGCCTTAGAGATATTTTATGTGTATGGATACCAATAAATTATATTTTACCCTGCTTAACTGCCAGTATCACCTAAGCCGAGCAAAATGACTACCCGATTCACAGTCAAAAATGGGGGTTACATTGAGTATAAAATAATACATGTAATTATATGATTGTTTTTCCACTGAGCACTGCGTGAATGTTTATATAAAAAACTAGTGTTGAAACTCAGCGGTAATTGGTGCGAGCATTACCTGCAACTCGCATAGTAATTTTCTGCAGAATCAGTGCAAACTATATAACCAATCGTAGATATACATGTAAATCAGTTTAGAGGAGAATATTTATCTGGCAAAGTGCCGACCTTGGTTCTACCCTAGTGAATGGCATCAGTGAAAAGGTGAGTGCTGGGGGTCAAGTGGTGCAGCACATCTCCAATAATTAAAATTTTCTAGGTACCATTACAGTGCTAACAAATTTGGTAATGTTGCATCAAAAATGGTACATCTGAAAAAGAAAAATGATGAGACCAAAGAAGCTCATTGAAAATAAACTCGCATTTACTCTAAAAAAAAAAAAAAAATACTGCTTTGGTGGAGAGGTTTTTTTTTTTAAACCAAAACTTTAAGTGTATACTGAACCTCAGACTTAACATGTTCAGCCCCTATGCCAGGCTGATGTAGGTGAAGGTAATTCTCAAGCCAGTAACCATTGGGTTCGAACACTTATTTTTATATAAACTGATACATTGTTGCATTATTGTAATCATCATTGCAGTGCTCATTCTGGAAATGATCATAATATTATCTTACATGTTAATTCACATCAAAATAATACCTTTAATCTAGTGTATTTGAATGTGAAATGAATCTAAGATGGCCAAAATGTCACTGAGAAACTTTTTAAGGTTTAGAAAAAAGCAGTGCATAGTAATTTGAATTTCAAAGATGTTTCATTTGAAACGATAGTTCCATTAGTAAACAACATGGTGGACCCGGTGGTCTGAGCGTTGGTCATAAAAAGTAGAATAGAATTCGTGACTTTATTTCAAATTTTAAGCATAAACAAACATTATACAGTACAAGGAATGTTGCCGCTGAACCATGCGTCACTTATCTCCTGCCGTTTCCCTGCACGTGTCCAGACACACCCACGTGTGCTTGCGTGTTAATTAGTAGTACCGTAAAATCTGTATTAGAAGCCACATCTCTAATAGAAGTCGCACCCATTTTTTTTGAATAATTGAGAACCAAAAATTCATCATTTCTCTAATAGAAGCCACATTCCCTCTGTTGCATTGTACCATTTTAATAGAAGCTGCGGCTTCTAATACAGATTTTACAGTACTCTATATATGCTTTGAATATACATTGTACTATGTTTCGCGAGAAATTTCATCCAACAGAATCTTGAAATCATGTATAGATGTGATATTTAATTTGTGGCCTTGATTGGTTACAACAATGAAAAGTATGTTTAATTTGGTGATTAAACATCTCAACCTTCAATGCAGTATAGTTTCAGTATTTCAATATTTTTTGTGAGGATGCATATTGTCATATTGCTGTGTATCATTTACTAACTTTACTAATTGTGTTAAAGATAAAAACAATATCCTGTTTCTGTAATTTAATCTTCTGCCAGTATCATTTTGCTCTAGGATAATTTTTTTTATTTGCTCATTTCCGCCACCTCCTATGTCATAACATATTTTGGGGGCATAACATATTTTGGACTACCTAAAAGTACAATTATTGTCATTTTGTATATTTTTCTCTATAAGTTGTATAAAATTAACAGAGAAATCACTCCTACTAGTAAATCGACTGCACATCACACTAAAGCATCCCTAAGTTTGTAGAAAACATCCAATTTTTGCCAGTTTTGAACTGATTTGTTGTGTAAGCAGTGATTCTCAAGATGGCTTGTAATCAAACCATTCAGAGAAAATACATGTATGTATGAATAACTTGTTTTAATTTACGTTTGACATTGTCTTTTATCATGTTAGGTCCCATTAGGAAGCCAAAAAAGTGTACTTTGTTTGATTCACCGTCACGGCGCCATAGAAATCATTATCAAGGATCTCTCACGCCTATCAGGAGCCCTTTCAGAAGGTGGGTAGTATTTTTGTAGTATTTATATCTAGGCAGGACTTTTACACATTGATATTTTCTTATTACTCTCTATGATTTGTGCATACTAGTTTGTACCCTATTTAAAGGAGTCTGCTGTTATTTGTTTGTCTTTGCAATATGATATCGGAATTTCATATTCAGCTGAAATACTGATGAAAAACAATTTACAGAGATGCTAGAAATTGCTGTCAGTCTTTGTGGAATTACCAGGTGCTGGGGATTTCCTTAGTCTTCAATGAATTTTTTTAGCATTGTTGTAAACTAAGTTTGGCTTACTGTTGACCAAAAAAATGATACTACTACAAAACCATCAAAACAATTCAGCAATTCGAAGAAAAGATAAAAACATTAAAATAATGTATGTTCTCAGAATGCTTGAAGCTTATCTACAGATAACTGTGTACTACTGTCATTATTAATACCATACTTTTACCATTAAATTATATGATTTTGAAACCACCCAACGCCGTATTAATGTGGAAAGTAAAATAGGTTAGGTATAGATGGTACATGGGTAGAGGGTGCTTTGGTTACAACATATTTGGGTGTAACCATCGACCCATTCCTGACATAGAAATCTCGTATTGAGAAAATAAGTAAAATTATCAGTTCTAAAGTGGGTATTATATCACGTATTTATTCTCTCACACCTAACTTATTGTATTGAAATATGGGTCATACTTACCTCACTTAAACTTGAACTAATTCTACGTTTACAAAAAAAGCTTGTACGACATATCACCTTCTCCGATTTATATACGCACTCTGCACCTCTCTTTCGACAGCTTGGCGTCCTTGACATTCACAAACTCTGCAAACTTCACACTTGTTTGTTCATATTTGACCTTAAGAATAATCGCTTTGCCCATGATATCAGTTATTATATTGATCAGCATTCCCATCGTTACCCAACAACGGCCATTTCCAGTGGAAACTTGTCAGTCCCGTAAAATGAATTTTACCACGTTCCCAACATAACTTCACATATTCAGCGGTCAAATATTGGAATTCCTTTACTGTTTAAGTAAAAGGCTTACGCAATAGAAACCAATTTAAAACACAACTGAAAAACTTGCTTGTATCACAGTGAGCATTCTGTTGTCTAAATGATGCAGTGCACTGTGTTGGCAACATGATGTTTCGCCTGCACCATTGCCGCGGTTCCCGTGGCGATGTCCAGCTCTCGGAAGGTGGTTGACTACAAACATGAAGGACGTTGCTAACTGACGTCCTATGGGGAGGGGGGAGAAAAAAAAATCGGCCATGTTGTACTCGACCATCTCCACACATCGGGCGTCGCGGTGGTGGTCCTGGTGAGACATCAAGCCACACGTGCAAATTTTATCATATTATATTGTATGACAATTACTTTCTAAAAAGGAAAAATAGGAAATCAAAGTTATAGCAATAATAGTTATTTATTTATTATTACTTGGTTAGCAATCTGCCAGTTGCCTTTTATTACATACCACTTACTGCTATTTAGTTTTTACTTACCGTACTCGACCGCGTTAGCGCCCAGGGGCCTCAACTCAGAAAATCATGATTTTTTAGGGGTGGGCGCTTACCCGAGCACCTCCCTCGAAAAATAGTGCAAATGAAAAATGTTATTCATCAAGTGACAAATTACGTCTTTGAGGAAAAATCAAATTACAAAATTAGTTAAGTCGTCATTGATTTTCACAAAGAAACAGAAATGATCAAAAAAAATATGCACATTTTATTACAATATTGATTACGTACCACCAGAATTTACGAAATTAAAAACATTTGAGTCTGTTGGAACACAGTCGAAGTCAAAATTGTCATATTATCTCCACTGATGAAGGTGTTGGATCGTACGCAAACTCTCGATGAAAATCGCTTTTCGCCATGATGCATTTGCAGATTTTACCTGCAGCAGTGTCCTTTGACCTAATGGGTCAAGTTGGTTATTAACCAATCAGAATGCTGTGTTGTACTGACGCAATTCTTCGGAAATTCACGAAGACTTTCCGGTAACACAATGCGGAAGTGAATTATCGATGTCGAAGTACGATCTGTACAAATTGATTTTAGCGAATAAATGCCATGGTTTTTTTCAAAAAACTAGTAACTCGCCATTTTTGATAGGTAAACTGAATATGGCATGAAATATTTACTTGTATTAGCAGGTCATTGTCGAAGCGTAGTTTACACACGGTTACCTTGTTCTACGCATTCACAATAAAAACAACATGTTCACAGCGGTTGATATCCACGCTGTATCATATAAAAACGATTACCAAGATTCGTTACGCAAGACCAAGTTTTAAATTAGTTACATTCTGAAGGGGTGGGCGCTTTGCCGAATGTAACCCCAAATATAAAAATTGCGCAAAAGTGGGGGGTGGGCGCTTGCCCGGGCATGGGCGCTAACGCGGCTGAGTACGGTAGATATTTAATTTACTCATGTATTTTTCTGATTATGTACTTACTCATTTATGTTACCATACCACTTTCTTTTCATTCAATTTTAAGTGATAGGGCCATGAACTAGACTAGTTCTGCTAAACTATTTTCATGGTCCACACCAGAATTATTGAAGTTGTGTACATATTACCTTGTATATTAATTTTACTCTTTATATATCCCAACAATTATATACATAATTGTCAAAAACCCACCAATATCTGTTAATACAAGTTGTATGGCCATTTTTGTTAGTTCCACTGTCATTATAGATTACAGAGCAGTGATTGTCCATCATCGTCTGTCAGCAATTGCATTTTCGACTTCTTGAAAACTACCAGCTCAATTGATTTGATACTTGATACCTTCGTCTGATTTGTTCATTTTGTTGCATTATCTTAAAAAGTTTATATTTTTCTTTTTCCGTAAAGAATTCTATTTTTGACTTCCTTATAAACTACCAGCTCAATTGATTTGATTCTTGGTATGTAGGTACGTACCTTCAGTTGGACCTCTGTCAGATTTGTTCATTTCGTGATGGTATCTTCAATTTTCTCTTTTTGGCAAATATTGTTTGGCATATTTCTAAATATTTCTTGAAAATTACCTGCTCAATTGCTTTGCTATATTATATTTAGGTACATTTGGTGGACCTCAATCAGATTTGTTCATTTTGTGCAGATACCATTTTGTAATTTCTGGTAAAAAATTATATTTTCAAATTCTTCTTGTACACTGCCAGTTATTTTTAGGAACAATTTGTTTGAAGTTAAGTTGACATCTTCTCAACAGTCAAAACCAAACAATGTGGGTGTGCATTAGTTGACTTGGCTACCACAATGTTCTTGTAGGACAGCAGAGCTATTCAACTGCAATGATGCACAATAAACTTTTCAAGCATCATACTATGAAGATGAACATTCCAAAATAAATTTCTGGCAGGACAGGGAGCCTAATCAGCTCATTGGCGAGTTAAGACTGGAGTCTTAGACATTTTTTGAAGCATGTAGGGAACCAAGTGAGCTCATTGACAAGTGAAGACTGAAACCTTGAACAAATTTTGAGGCATGTAGGGAAGCAAGTTGGCTCATTGACAAGTAAAGACTAGAAACATGTAGGGCATCAATTGAGCTCATTAACAAGTGTGAACTGGAGCCTTGGACAAATCTTAAAGCAAGTACTGTATGATGCCAATGTTGGGAGCCAATTTGGTTTTTTGGCAAATAAACCAAAGAATTAGGAGTATGGGGAAGATATTAAGAGCGTGTTAGGAGCCAAGTGGGTTCCTTAACAAGTAAAGCTAGGACTAGGAGCTTGTGAATGTGAATCTAGAAGCCTTGGGGAAATTCTACAAGCATGTAGGAAGCAAAGTGAAGCTCGGAACTTGGGAGATAATTTTTGTTTCTGAACTCTCCTTATTTCAGTACATTTTAATCTTTCACTGTGTGAACACCTCTTATTATGTTTCTGTAGCTGTATCTAATGTCATGAGTTATAACACCTTTATTTGTAATGATGATACAGGTGTTTGCTTTGTTGATGTACCCTATGTAAGTGATATGTTTATTTTTGTTTTAACAATTCTAGAAGACGTCATGCAACACATAACAGCTCGTCAACAAGCTCATCAGATTCCGGTGATGACGAACGAAGATTTGAACGTAGAAAATCTAAGAGTATGTCGAGGAACAGGCTGAGGTAAGTATTTATGCGTCACTAAAATTCTTAAAGGGCATTTATAAGTTTAATAATTTCAATTATAAAAAAGACATGTTCTGCATTAGCATATTTATATCACATATAATAGGGATCTAAAATGACCTTTGTGTTATTGATTGGGAAAGCAAAGGGTATATGTCAAGTCATATCTTATTTAGAAGTTATAAACTGCATGCAAGGGTATT